AGAATATATAGCTCAGATAGAAAGAGAGACTGAGCAAACTTGATCAAAATTCTCTCTCTCTCTCTCTCTCTCTCTCTCTCTCTCTCTCTCCCCCTCCCTCCCTCCCTCCCTCTCCCTCTCCCTCCCTCCCCTGCTCTCTTTTTCTTTCTCTCTCTCTCTCTGTAGTGACCGGGGAATCGCCTCCCAGTCTGTCGAAAGATCTCACCAGCTCTTTGGCCGGGGTGGGGGATGTCGGCTTTGACTCAGATTCCCAGTTCCCTCTGGACGAACTAAAAATCGACCCCTTGACCTTGGATGGGCTTCACATGCTCAACGACCCCGACATGGTCCTTGCGGATGCCGCCACAGAGGACACTTTCCGGATGGACCGGCTGTAGTGGGGGGTGGGGGGTGGGGGTGGAGAACGGAAAGGGAGTGTGTGCCGCGCAGTCCAAAGGAGCGCCTCCAAATCACCAAGTCCCGGAACGTCCACGCCACTCTGGTGCTCGGAGGGAGATCGGGCCGAGCCCATCTCGGATCTCTTGCATCCCATCAGGGTCCCCGGAGAGCCGCGGCTCCACTGTGTGTCCAATTTAGCGATTGCTCGTTCTACAACTTGCCCGGCAGCCGTCCTGCTCGCCTCTCCTCCCCCAGCACCAACTTAAAAGGTTCATGCCTTGCTGTTGGGAGAACGTTCCTCAAAAGAGCCGTCTCTTCTACCCCAGGCCTCCCCCCTCCCCCTTACCTCCCCCTCCCTCTGTCACCAAAGTTCCAGCATTTTTGGTCCTCTTTCTTCGTCCTTCGCCCTAAAAGCTTTGGGCTTTGTGTTCTTCGGGAAGTGGCGTGGCAGCGAAAGTTATATTTCCCCCACTCCTCCTCCTCCTCCTCCTCCTCCTCTTTCCAAGGCAGAGGAGCTCTTCAGAAGATAAAATAGGTGTATCGTTTTGTTTTCCTGTGTACGTAAACTATCCGACCTTTGGCTTCTGTTACAAAAAAACAAACATCCCGCATGGAGCTGAAAGCTTCCCTCCCCCCCCCCACCCTCCGGGGGAGTTGGGGTGGACCGTTCGATGAAAATGGGGGGGGGCGGGGGTTGGGGGCGGGGAGAAAGAGGAGGCCATGATTTCTAAAGCTGCTTTGTGAATACCACTGCCTTTCCAGGGAGAAGGACTGGACTTGGAGAGGTGGAGGAAAGCCCGCTGTGGCTCTCCGAATAAAACTCCATAAAGCCGCCGCTTGCATTGGGGGGGTGGGGGTGGGGGTGGGGGTGTTGAGGAAGAGTGGCTTGCAATTTCTCCGCTTGATTCTCCGATCCTTGACTGTTTTCTGGAGTCCCATCATGGCCTGTTAGCTCATTTGCCTGTGTGCATGCAGCAGCTTTCAGAAACAGCTGTCTGACCGCCACCTCTCCCCCCCCCCCATCGTCCACTGGGCTGCGTTGCCGGGAGACACT